AATACGGTGGCGGCGGCAGCGATGACGGTGACAGCGGTGGCGGAGGCTGACTTGTTTGTTCGTTCGTCGAGTAACCGATAGTATACGCGTCCAAGTAGCAATGGGTAATAGCAGAGAGTAAAAAGTAACTCTTTTTCGTGGAATAGTAAACGTGGTAATTGCAATAGGGCGGTAATAGAAGTAGCGATAATAGCGATAGTGGTAGAATAGCTGTAGGTATCGGTGATCGACGGGGTGTAATAGCGGTTTGTGGACAGTGTCTCCAGGCAGGTATACGAACAAAGGTAAGATGGAGTGTCGGAAGGGCTGGGGAGGTTTCTTGAATGAAGGATTTTACGGCCGGTTTTACGGGCTAGGGCCGGAGGGGACTTGGCCGGCCGGCTAGGTGGTATCAGGATCGTGGGTAAGGTGACTGGCCGAAAGGATGGGGGTTTAATTAGCTAGGGTTGCGAGATAATTAGAGACAACGCAGCTGGGGTTAACACCAGCGGAAAGGCATGGGTCGAGGTCGATCCGCACCCTCCTTCACTAACGGCTTATGGAACTCCCGACCTGGTCGCGAGTGAATCGTCGCCCAGCATTGCTCGCAATAGTACTGAAACAGAAGAAGAAAGGAAAATAGAAGCATTAGAATGTGCGTTTTCCTGGATTGTTCGTTAGCAGTTGGCAGTGTCAAGGCAGAGAGTGCGTGCGATTAAGGAGACAGAGGAGGCATTTACCTGTAAGCAGGTAACGTTCGCGCAGAAGAACGGCGCGAATTTGCCTCCGCAACGTTGCCCCTGGCACTCGTCGCACATTTGGTCGTCTAGGACGTATGGTTTCACTTCGACCTGAACAAATTAATCAGATGGAGAAACGATATGACGTGTCGAAGTATATATTATAATGTCCAAGTCAGTCGAAATAGTACACACTTACTCTCTTGTCTATGTCGCCGTGCTGTAACTGTACGAATCTGGCCGATATGGCAGCTATGTAGCTTTGTTGATTGCTGAAAGCAACCCTACCGGCCCCTTTGGGATACTTGAGCTCGGGATCTGTGTCAATGCCCGCGTAACATACGCCTCCGTACAGACGGTCCATAATCATCGCGAGCTCGACGGCCTTCAATGGTCGTGGAACGCCGCCGACGAACACCGTTTTTCGCGGATCTAACGGCATCGAAGCGTCCAGCACGAAATCCGCGTCGCTCAGCCGCCATGGTCGGATCTGCACGGGTTTGTCCTTGGTTGTCGGCGAGCTCACGCACAGATACAACTTCTCCTCGTCTTGGATGCACGCGTCGATCAGTTGTTGTACGGACGCCTCATCCTGCGATCGAACCAATCAAATTGGAATCTGTCCGTTACTATTCATTTAAAGAGAAACGCAGCACACGGCTCAACTCGAGTAACGTGTATTTTCGATTTACCTGGAAAAGCAGGAAAGCGTAGCCCTTTGGTGGAAAGTAGGATTTGCTCTCCGCTTTGTGGGGCCAATCGACGACCAGCGATCCAAAACGGCGGAAACTGGCTTTGATTTCCTCTGGAACGAGCGAATAATAACTAACGTCGAATGTAAAGGTGAAGCGAGGCGTTAAATCAGATGGGAAAGTATAGTCGTTACCTTCGTCGATGTCCGGTGGTAGACCACCGACGAACACTTTCCTAGAGAAGCGTTCCCCGGTTTCGCTGCCTTGGCTGTGAGGGCTGCTGCGACTCGGCGACGAGAGCGGCGCCGTCTGCGACCCGGTTATGCCGCTACCGACACCGACTCCGACGCCAACACCCACACCGACACCCACACCCACACCAACCCCGACCCCGTCCAGCTGGCTCGCCGCGTTAGGATCTTCCAGAAGCGTGCCGCTCTGGTCTTCTAGGCTCGGGAAGAACGGTGATTTACCTGAAAACGTTTGTACGATGTTAGTTCCTGTGTCAAAATATTTGACAGTCATCAACAACAACAACAACAACAACGGTAAAGATGACGACGATTCGAAGTAACCTATGGGACCTAACAACAAGCATCGCAATGTGTCGCCCTTGACACGGATAAATGGAATTGTTTTCGAAGGTAGAGGTGGAAGAATGACGGTTAGATGAGAATCGAGACTGACGCTTCGGGAAATTTCGCGAGTCGAGTATTACGCCGAAAAACTCACTGTATCTTCTTCTGATTGGGAATCTCGCTCTTCTGATGAACGTCGCCATTTCTCGCGGCGAATTCTTCGGCTCGCAAACGAACCCCAAAGAAACGCGAAATTGCGCGCAAACGTGACCGCTTGTTTCTCGCTGTTGTTAAGGGAAAACAGAAGACTGACAAAAGCGTACGTGCAACCGAGCGGAACAATCGAGTTTCAGTGGTCGTCGCTCATTTTTTTTTTATCGTTTATTCGGCGTCGTTGGAGCGAACGTCGTTAAAGACTACTCGAAAGTTTGCTCTAACAGCGGCGGGGCGCTCCGAAACGAGAATAGATACTGATACTTGCTCGTTAAGTAACAGCCTTGTCACGAACCGAATTTCCGCGAGAAAGCGGGACACCGTGCATTCGACCATCCCTTCGATTTTACCCGTTGCCAGTACAATATCGATTACTCCAGCCAACTCCTCGAGGGTCTGCACCACCAGCTGCCGACCGGCAGTCGCGATTTCCCATCAATCGCACCAACACTCACTAAAGTGTCTCTCTCCGTGGCAAATCGGAGATTCGTCGCTGGTAATTTGAATTTTCCGATTTCGCGTACCGCCGCTGGAAGGAGGATATAACTGGAAGGTCGACCCTAACTACTTGACCGTTCGCTGATGCTTATATTATATTTCTGCGGCGAAATGGCCATGATATCGCTCAGTCCATGATATAGGTACATATGTACATACACTACCGGCCAAAAGTTTGGAATCACCGAGCATTGCAATTTACACAAAAATTTCCAGAAAAAAGTCAGCGACTTTGAGAATTTTTTATCATTCGAATCAATTGATATGAGATAAATTGATAAATGTAGAATTCAGATAAACTTCAAATCTATAAAAAATTAGCAGTAGATTTAATATTGATGAAAAGTGGGAGGTGATTCCAAACTTTTGGCCGGTAGTGTACATACATACAAGTTGGGTCGATGCTCTCCCTCTCTCCCTCTCTATCCGCCAATTCTAGTATTTACGTTTGTTCGTCAAATCGAGAGAAAATTCATATAGCGAGACGAATGTGTATACACATAGGTTGACTTGTCCAGTGAATGAACACCCCCAAGTGAATAAACAGTGTTCATATTATACGAAAAATTAAAACCTATTATGCTTTTTGAAATTTCCAAAATACTTTCAGTGGAAGTCCACAGACGTCTTGCAAAATTGTTCTTCTTTTTACCTGTAACCTATACGGCACTACATTCCCTTTATTCAATAGCTGTCCTCGCGGCGTCACACAAGTTCAAGTAAGTCTTATGTGAGTGTAAATGTCAAAAGGTGATTCAGTGTTCGTCATGCTCTTTATGGTGGCACGAGAATTATACATGTTATAATAGTAAAGGAAAGTTTATTTGTGACAAATGTGATTAATTTGTGTTATGTATTCCGCACCTTTTACATCTCTTTTGATTCGACCATAATCATTTCATGAATTCTTTTTGGATAGATATAAGTACCTACACATCATGCTTATATCTCTTTGTGTACTTTGACATTTTTTAAATAAAGCATTACAGTTATATTCAGAATTTTATAAAATATCTGCAGTATTGCTTTCTCTTCTCCGCTGATTGCAACAGTTGCCCTAACCAATCGTGGAAAGTAAATAAATACATTGAAAATCACGTTTTCTTCAAAAATATTATCCTGTTTATTCACTGGGGGTACCTCTGTTCATTCATTGGTCTTTTGGTTCATGTTTCACTTAATCCTACGTCAGACTTTTAATAAAGGTTATAACTATCAAAAATTGCTAGATTTGTGTTCCGGAATGTATGACCTTTGTACTGAAACAGTTCACTTACAGTAATAGCATTTAGGAGATTAAATCACGATTTATGAATACTAATTTTAACAGACCTGTAGCTTAAGTGTTCATTCACTGGACAGATCACCCTACCCCCTTGGAAGCATGAACGAAACGAGTTCGATCTAGGATCCAGTCAAGAGACAGGATCACGAGGACATCGTTTCGAATTTCATCGAGGCGGAGAGAGCATAGACTGGCACACACAGTCCGCGTTTCTATCGATTAGAAGGTTTTAGGTCTTTTCTCGTTAATCGAAGCACAGGACAAGGATAAGACCTCCTATCGTTTTCGGAGCACTCTCAGCAAATCGTAGAACGATATCACGCAAGTCGTGACCGAACCCCTCGAAGGTGTTCTTCATCCCTTTCCCTTCCTCTTTTCAACGTAGCCCTATACCTATGTAGGTCTGAAACAAGAGGGTTATATCTAGCTCTGTTTATTCCCCGATCCGATGTACGAGCAAAGGATCATGCCTTTCCATTTCCACTTCTTTCGACCGCTTTTGCCCCTTCTTCCTTCTTTCTTTTTCCCGAAACATACTATATTTCCTAGCGGATGATTTCGTCGTGTTCCAGAGGGTTTAAAGTTGCTTTCGAAGAGAGGGGCTAAGAAACTTGAGTGCGATTCGGTAGCTTTCTAAGGCGGATACAACGATGCACGTGTGATCGCGGTACGGGAATAAGCTCGAAACACGAAACGAGGTATATACTACATGTATGAATGGAAGTATACGAGAGGGTTCCGGAGCGAGAGGGGGCAACGTGGAATAATCTGCGTGGATAATCGCGGTTTTATCGCGAGGGTCTGCTCTCCCGCTCCTATTTCGGGGGATGTAGCGCAGACGTACCTTTCGGCCAAAATTATTTAACGCTTTCCCCGTTCCGCGCGCGTGACTCACCCGCCTGCGTCAGCCTCGTTGCCTCCTTTTGTATACACACCTCTGCTCATCCGCGCGTCGTCGTTTCACGTTACATCGCGGTGTCCGATCGAAACCGACTTTTCTGCGTTTGTGCTTAACGAGGATTTACTTACGATACAAAATCTTACATGAGCTAGCTGGCATATATGGTAGTCTATCTTCCGGTCAACTTGTATGCACCATATCGATAGTTATCCAGTCAAAAGTTAAAGATATCTTTGGAAAAAGTTTGACGATTCCAAAATCTCGGAGGTCCGTATGGTTTTGAAAAAAGCGAAAAAAAAAAGAAACTGATATCTAACTGGTATAGAGGGAAAACTGCGGTCTACGGATCGATCGCAGCTTCGCTAAGTGACACCGGGTGGTTGGTTCGATTCCACCAGCTGGGCTTCCCGAAAAAACCAGAGGGAAGGAAGAAGAGAGAGGAGGAGGGTCAAAGTGAGCCGAGTTTTCGTTTGGCCGGTCTGCGACAGTCACAGAGCATCAATGTAACGCACGTCACCGGCGCTAGGAGGTTCGACGGATCAATAATCCAGGTAGCGTTTGCCCCACCGCGCCCGTCCCGCCCTTACTTCTCCCTTCCCTATTCGTCTACCCTTAGACACACCAGCGCGATACCTTAGCCCGCGTTGCACGATCCTTCCGCCCGAATTCGGCCAACCCGACTGGAGTACAACGCGTTGCAGAAGAAACTGTCGCGTCTCTCCGACCCTTTTTCTCTTCGCTCTGACGAGACCCGCCAATCCCCTGAACTATGACACGCGCGTACCGAACGCGTACGACCGCGGCTAGAAGATAAAGGCACGCGGTTGCGGAAGCGAACCGAGGTGAATGCCCTTTTCCAGCCGCCACCTCTCTATCCCCAGCCCCACCGCTCGCTAGTCCACAGCTCCCCTTACGCTCGCGTCCTTGCGTTTTCCTAGCGTCCCGACGCCGATGCATCGTGCCCCCACCCCCTTCATCTCTTTCTCTCGCTCTCGTGCCCAATCGCCTTTGTTCGAGCACGTGGATCACGCGACCGTGCAACGCGACCGTCCAGTCACGTCGTTAACCTATCGTTTGAGTAGCGGTACACGAAGTTGATAAAAGCCTCCGTACGTATGAGACTCGCGAAGATTTCGCGAACGGATTACGCCAACTCCGGTGCTTGCGTTTCTCTGCGAGGGAGAGAGAAGCCTGCTCGAGGAAATTCCGTGGTTTCGTTAAGATCGACCTATCGATTCCACCGATGCACGCGCCTTTGCAACGAGAACAACAGAGGGGAGGAGGAGATCGAGTTGTTACTGTTGTGCTAATAGAGCGGTAGGTACGTTATTCGCGATCGAAATCGAAACGCTCGCCACGATAGTTGATCCGCGTCATCAGCTTTTGGGGGCGAGGATAAAAATAGCAGACGACGATTCACGGGGTAACTGGACTCCGCTCGTTTCATTTCGGAGTGGGGGGCTGACAAACGAACAGTTGGTCACGCGACTTTTTACGAGTCGTATGCAAATGTTGCGTTTACGCGATAAACGTGGTTTCTCCCCTACGCCAGCATGATATTTCATTTCGATACGAACTTCGTAAATTTCGAAACGTCACACCGACCCTCCCTTTCCAGAGGCGATCGAGCACGAACGACGCTTACGTGCCCCTCGAACAATTCTCGTGGTTACCCTTTTTGCGGCTCGAACGCAACGCGAAAAACGCAACCGAAGAGAAAGACAGGAAACGAGCAAGGCGTAGAAGCGCAGCAACTGATCCGATTTGAAGAGTAAAAGGGGAAAAGCCGGTTACGTAGGAAGAGCAGGGTTTATCGTAATAATCGGCCATTGTTGAGAGAATATAATGAACGTTGTCTCATGGACGACGCCGACCATTCTTCTCTCATGACGTTCTTCCTGTCCTACAGTCCCTCGAATTCCTCGCAACGATTTACTCCGTTTTCTTATTCCGAGAGTCAATTTAATTTTAGATAAGCTGGAAGGGATTCACTTTCTTTTCACCAACAATTCTTCGCGTTTGCCTCTGGGATTTGCGAGAAATTCGTCGATTCCTTCGGGGACTCGGTTCCAATTCCAGTACTTTTCGAGGAGTGGTTAACGCTCGCTGAATACTTATGCAGTCACATCGAGGGGTAATTTTTTCGTTCGAACCGCCTCCGACATCTTCTAGGATGCGTTGGTTAGGCGAAGACGCGTTAATTAGCATGTGCGAGGGGACGATCAATTAACCTCCGCGGCTAAGAAGCGAAAGGTTAATTAAAAGAAGAACGAAGAGACGCATCGAGTGCACTGACAATAGATGGTAATCGGGGAAAAGCAGCAATTAAAACGTACCCAGGGGCGCTACGTTTCCGCCACCTCTTTTTTCGCGATCTCCAGACTGTCTAGCCTGTCGTCCTAGCACCCTTTCCATTTCCCAGCGCAACTTATAAAAATTCGTAATTATGAGCTTATTAACGACTTAGAAAATCCTGCGAATTAACGAGCGCGCGTCTCAAGAGCTAGCGGCTCTACGACAACCCTCCCGCATCCTCGTCCCGCCGACCCCGACCAGTCCCTCCTCTCTCTCCGCCTCTTCACCCCCCGACACCTAACTCGCCCTCCATCTTCTCCTCCTTCTCGCGTTCGTCAACCCCTTAGACCATGCGATCTAACCAACCCGCGAGAGGCAGACGGAGAGAGGAGCGAAACGAGTCTTGATTCAGCGAGACAAACAGGCATCGCGTCGACCGTGCAATTGCACCATCTGCGGTAACAAATGGAAGAAAAACGCAAATCCATGCCGTTAAACGTCCTTTATCACGAGGGAGTAGAAAAAATAATTCGTAACTACCGAGGAATATGGATCGGATTGCTTTTTCTCTCGTAGATCACTTTGCAGGAAACGAAGTAAATACGCTTACTGGTGCAAGAATTGATGAATATCGCTCGAACATTATTTAGACTAGCCTTCTTTGCCAACGATATTAGAAGCGATATGCTTTCAATTGATCAGATACGTTTACAATGATGGTGAACGTACCGCGTTTAAGGGGTGGCTCTCGAAAAAGATAGGAGGACGTCGAGTCACGCGAATGCGATAAAATCGAACGTTCGAAGCCCGACGACGTCGCGAATCATAGCGCGTACAATCGAACAAAGAAAGGGAACACGTAACCTGCTGCACTCTTGACCTTTCCAAACTCTTGTGCAAACCAAACTACACAGCATCCTGGCTTCGAGTTTCCACGCGGATTCATTCTTTGAAACAACAACAAAGGAAAGTTGAACAAATTGACAGATAGGATTTTAATATTCTCGATGCCGAGCAAAAGAGTTTTCAGAGTCTCGAAAGCTAGCAAGCCCTGAAGCTTCCTTCCGTTGAAACGCGACGCGTCTCTCTCTCTTCTTCTTTCTTTCTGCTTTTGCATGGACGTCGAACGCGAAAGTGCTCTCGATACGGGACGCGTCTGGTACCGCGTTAAGGCAGGTCTTGAAAACAGGTCTCCCCGGTCTCTCTCTCTCTCTCTCTCTTTCTCTCCTCTTTCTTCGCGTTGTGCGCCGTTCCGCGACACGCTTAAACTCTGATCGAAGCGTTCGAGCCGTACAGAATAAAGTGATCGTCCTTGTACTGCCATGCTATACGGTGCTCCGTTAGCAGCGAACAGCGAAAAATCTGGTGGAGAAACGAAAAAAGGAGAAAAAAAAGATGGAGGGCGTGTCGTATCGGCAGGATCGTTTCGTATGCGTATGTAGTAGGTATATTATACGACACAGGCTTAGAGAACAGCAGCTCGGTCGAGTGTACCGTTACCGCGTGCATATCGGTTTGAAACGATCGAATTACGAGAGAAAAAATCGCGTCGACTTCTCTGGCTGGCTATCCTTCAGTATTAGAGATCGCGCACGGTACCAGGCCGCGGTCGAAACGAGACAAGTTTTACGAGTTGGTTGATTCGGGTCAAAAATGTATAAGTATACGTAGACGATGTGGACGCCGAGAAAGGAAAATGCGGGAACAATTGGAAGAGAGAGCACACGTGCGTCGGTTTTCGCTGAGTCCCGCGGTCACGTTACAAGTCGCCATATTTTCTCCTCCCGGGAAAAAGTAGCTCGCAGTGTCGCGACACGTGAATTACCTCTAATTGCAAATAAACTTCCCTACGATCATCCTTCATTTTAATTGGCCGAACAGTCGCTTTTACCGACCTTGGAGAAACTGGTTGTTCGCGGTCGTATTTCCGGAGAAACGATTCTCAAACGACCTTTCGACGAAAGCACAGAAAGAGAAGAAAATCCTATTCGAAAATCCAGCGCACAGAAACAGGCGACAAACGAACAACGTCGACCACGCGAAACTTTGCCAAGGATGCTAGGAATGTGGGACAAGGAAAATCTTGCGCCTTGGCTTCGATGCGTCCTATAGCGACGACGGCGACCACGACAACGAAACCAAATTTGCGTTGCGCTGGCGAAAATCTATCGCGTTTACTTGAAACTTTAGATTGAGAAAACTATGAAAATTACCGCTCCGCTAGTATGATTCTCCGTCCTGCGGCCTTAATACGCGACTTCGTTGTCTAGAGGAAATAGCCGGATGAATTATTCCGAGGAAATGTTACCACGCAACGTCACGATAAATTTGTCCACCGGTGATGTACGAAGGCCCAGAGTATACGCGAGGTGAATTTTTCCGGCTCATACCCAGTACGTTGGTGGACTTGGCAGGTACCTAGTAACCGAACAACGTTTCATTATGCGTCTCCAGCAGGGAGAATGGAAGAATCTACGTTCGACGAAAAAGAATTTGAGCGTGTAATGTCTCGCATAAATACTGAAGGTCGCTCCAATTTATGGACGATCCACAGGAAGTTCCTCGCGGGGAGAAAGAGGAGAAGGGTGGCACCAGCAACGTTTCCAGGGCTCCTTGGTTCTCGACGAGTCAGCTAATTAACGTATTTATTGTTTCGTTGAATATGTAACACGGCCGCCTTGACCTCCTGTATGATAGGTATACCTTTACCTACCGCTTTCCTATGCCAAAGAAAGAGGGAGATGAATTCGATGGAATATGCTTGTTCCAGTGGTCGTTCAAAGAGATTGAATTTCGCTGGTCGAAGTCAAGGCGACATAGAATGATTCACCATGGTCGAGGAGAAAGAAAAGACACGCCTTCGAATCGATCGAAATGGAAATTGGCCGTGTCTGCGATAGTTCAATGCGCGAAACCGACGCGTTAAGAAACCGTTCTGCTCGCGCCTAGCCTCGCGCACTTCATGCTCCAAGCTTCCACGTAGGCAATCGTCCCATCAGCTGAGGACCCGGTGCATGTCTGTCACGCGCACCACTTGGTGCATATGCTCGCTCGGTGATTTCAATCCGTGCTCGTCCGCTGGCTAACCGATGCGAGCGAATTACAGTTTCATTGGTTACTGGATTATTCTATGAAAAAATGTTCGATCCTGTTTTCCATTTCGATTGTACGGCGTCGACGTGGAATTTCGAGGGAGGACAAATAGAAACAGCAAAACGAAGAGAAACGGAACGAAAGAAGCGATTGCATGTACACGTAGAGGTGAAAGAACGGGCTAGCGGACCAAAGTACAGGCTTCAGCTGGCGGCTAGTCCTTCTTTTCCAGCGATTGCAACGATGAAAGAGGAAACGAGGGTCGCGGAGGAGGGCCGCGTTTCCCTGATTGCCGTCAGAACAGTATACAAGCCTGTTGCAAAGCCGTTACGCAAGCGTAAATTTTAATTGAGCGTCTCTCTCGGCGCGTATCTTCCGTCGACTCAACACGGCACCGCGCGGCACCGTAGCGAGTACTAAACTTTAGCGAGAAACGAAGAAACCAGGGAAAGAAAGAAGGAGAGGAAGGAAAAAAGGAATAAACTGACAGTTTTCACTCACCGTGCAGTTGCGCGAGCGATTGTAGCGTGCTGGCATTACAGTTCATGTACCCTGAAACAGAAAAAGGTCGGTGTTTCGATTAGAAGTGCATTTCGCTTTCGAAATTCCATAATTTATCGTCGTCGGACACGGCCACGTGAAAGTGACGCGTCTGAAAGAGGGCGTAAAAGTTTGAAAAGTTGATGGAAGATATCGGTCCCCGATGGGCGTATACGCTTTAAGCCGCGTGGTGGCATTCACGCTAAGCGGTAACGTTAGACGCGCGCGTGAAGTTACGGGCCGCGATATTGTATCGCAAAGATGCGTGAACGTGAAGGAAAAGGAAAAGGCAAAGGAAAAGAAAACGAACCGCTCGCGTGCGGTTCGCGGAGATCACGTTGCACAGTGTCGTAAGTAGTGCGGCACGAAAGCCCGCTGCCGGACACATGTGGGTCAAACGCGGTTTCACAATTTCGAAAAAGGCGCCGTTTTAGCTGGCTTATCGAGAGTCGAGAACGCGACACTGCTCACTCCTAACCGCGAACGAGAAAACTTAGGCAATTCGACCACCCTTACTCTCTCTCTCTCTCTCTCTCTCCCATTGTCAGTAAGGAGAATGGTGTTTATGTTGATCGAGACGAAGATTGAATCGAAAGAAAACTTTTTCCCGCGTAACCAGATTACATGCGGCCGTGCATCGAATCGAGCAACAAGGAGCTAATTAGGAGCCTGAAATTGATCGATCAATTTCCCTCCCTATTTGGCTGAACTTAATAAATCGGCCCACTTGCGGGGATATTCGCGACATTAATAACCGTTATTATGAAATCTCGAGAACGGAGTCGTGTATACAGGAGACGCAAATTGCAGGTTTCGATTATGAAATCGCGCGCGATTACTTAACGGCGCGATACGTTTCGAATAGGCTTGCTGGTGGGTGATTCGATCGGCTTACGCGCGACAAGGGAAAAATCAGCCGTTTCGGCGGCAGCAAGTTTAAGCCGGCGAGAGAGGGAAGCTTGGGAGAAAGCGTTCCTTCGATTCATCGTCTGACACTTTCGTTCACCGACGAACCGTGTTCGATGCAACGACGCGACTCAATGACAGCGCTGTGCATCTTGTCTGATTCGCACGTCGAAGGATTCCGCAGTAAAGAAGGATCGCCGTTCGTTTGAGGAAAAAGACCGACGGTAGGGGGGGAGTACGTTCGACAAATAAGATAAAAAGATAAGATAAGAAATCTGCCGGAATTAAGAGGCAGTCGATACGCGTCGACTTTCGTTTCGAGTTTTCCTTGCTTCGACGGCGTACACGCGGCAATTCTACGCCCATAGAACGAGCGTCGGTCGACTCGACCTTTCGATTCAAGGTTGCTCGAACAAGTCGTAATTTACGCTCGACGGTAATTTAAGCGCGAGAACACGACGACTAAAGACAGTGTCAGACGTTAATTACGACGCAGAAGTGCGACTACGTACGTGCGTCGTTGAATAACCGCGATGCCCTGTGTACGCAGAGGAGCTCGCGCGAGCTCGTCGAGCTAACCGGCTTGTGCAATCAGTTCGAATCGAAAATACTTGCTATATTCGGGACGCTCGTTGCGCGACACTTCCCAGTTGCCACAGTCACCGTGCGACGATAACCTACGCGTTCCTCTACCATGCCCGTTGCGCCCTCTGCTCCCTCCCTCCTTCTCCTCCTTCTAACGATAATCGATACGAATTCGCGAATATTAAAGAGGATACCGCGCACAGCTCTCGGCTCCGTCTTCACTGGAGGGTGACAGGAGGTGGTATCTCTAGGCAATCTCTTGACAAAAGTTGCGTCATCGCGGATTAACCAACTTTCGATTGCGCTGCTGTGCCGCCGCTCGACTGCGGAGAAATGTAGAGAAATGCGGAGAAAATTGGAGGATAGCAACGGTGGAAAAATAAACGGGTCACCAACGGTTTTCCGTTCTTTGTCCCTATCCGACAAACACTCTTCTTTATGCATTTACACGCGGATAAGCTTGAATTTATGGAAGCGACGTTCGCGTAAAACCGTAACGTCGACACGACGTTTTATTTCGGAAACGGCACGTTTATTTCGCACGGGTTAATCGCTTCTCCTTCCCGCTAAAAGCCCACGCACGCACGCACGCACGCACACACATCGTACCGTGATCATTTGACTTTTTGCCAAACGACTCCGCCTCGCGACACGTCGTGTCGTTCCGATCAAATTTCCCGACGCCGCTTTCTCCTTCATGCGATTCCGCGGCTGAAAACTATCGCGATTTATTCGTCAGCACTCGGACGTTAACGCCTCTGCCAGTGTCGACGAACACTAATTCGTAGAGGAAACCGGTTCCTAGCTCTACGCGCAAAATTGAACGCGAGAATACAGCCGATAAAAATGTTCAGGGCTCTCGTTTCTCTCGTTTCGACAAAGAATACGCCGCAATCGGTTCGCTAGAGGTATGCTCAGGCACACGGCTGTCCTGCGACTTGGACCGACGAATAGCGGTATCCGTGTACGGTATCGGAGATGCAAAAGTTTAAACGTGCATCGACCTTTCGCCATTCCTTCTAGCTCGTCCGTTTTGCTCTAGCTAGATTCGCGTTTACGTCTCACGCACGTCCAATCAAGATCGCTCTATTTTTCCGCCTCTTCTTTATCCAGTACATTGTGCCCTGAGTTTCGACTGCAATGCATGATACTTAATTAACGATAACGATAATGCGACGATAAGAGACAGGTCGAACAATGAACACGGACCGCACATTAATCGTTGCAATAAATCAAATGCATACATCTCACGAAAATATCGCGTTTATCGCGTTTCACGGCGTTGTCATCAATCTTTCTCGTCTCGTGCAAATTAACGTCGGGCGGGACCGCTTTCAGCTTTGTTGGGAGGTTATGCTCAAGATACGCCTCTGGGCAAACTCTTTTTTGCAGTTCTTTTGTTTCGACAATGCTGCCTCGTGGAACGTTCTTCTGCCGTGATTCGATCTCTCTGATTGAAATTTCCCACACGGTAAATGGACCATTTAGACATGTTAAAGGTCACAATTAACGAGAATCGTCGTCGATGAATGTTAACTTTTTGCTTCTTCTGTAGGTTGACATTTAAATACTAAAGTTTCACCTCACCACGGGGAGAGTATGCATACAATAAAATTGTCCACCGGCGTCAAAATCTAAGATTGTCCACGGCGTAACGCCGCGCCGCCGCCTCAACTACTTTCTTCCTATCCATTATACTTCAGTACGTATGTATTTCTATATGAATAGGTCACATATACCAAAGATCGTTTTTGGCGACGTTTGCGCGCGCCCGCTTTCTTCCAAACTACCGAAAACGCCACCACGCTCCTCAGTCTCGTGATAAAAGAAAAAAAAGAGAAGCGTTTCGAGTGCTGTTTGCCAGCCTCTCTCGGATATCGGACAGCGACGAACGACTCACCAACTCCTATCCTCTAGCTGCCATTGCTCTCGAGCAAGCTGATACTGACCTGGAACAGAAAAAAAAGGCAACTGGTTACTCCTTTGTTAAGACGATCGAGAGTGTAATTGTTGGTGGGGTAACGAGAACCGTTATCGCGAACACGTCGTAGCTAGGTGGCTCGTCGCGCGACCCAAAGCAGCCACGTTCGAGTCGAACAACCACGGGCTAGGCGGCGACTTCCGCGTTTAATTCAGTTCTCCTAGCTATATTTAAAGCCGGTCGCGCGCCTCCCGATACAAGAATTTGCCGCGCCGCCGATCGTACCTCGAGTTCTACGATAGAATCGCGAGCGAAGGTCGCGGAGACCTCCGAGAAAACCACCACCACCACCTTTGTATAACAACGGTATAGAGCTCTCTGTATGCTCCGAAATCATCGCTGTCTCGAGATTTGTCGGATCGGTGAAAGTGTTAGATAACGATTTCAGTTCAGAGCTCCACGCTGGACTACTTTGACTAACCGAAAGCGACCTTATTCTCTTCCACCGGCTTCCTGGAACAAAATCATTGCTTTTCCAACGAATTTGCGACAAATATACACAGAACAGACGGTTCAAGAGTCTCGAGAGTCACCCAGTAGAGCACGACCTATTCAATTAGGCTAGCATCGGTGACATAACACGAGCCACGATACGGATGTGCATATTAACCCATTTAGCTCCGTTACACACGCGAACAATGCACGGTCCGCGTTCTGGACGACGACACGAGCGACTTCTCGCTCGTTCAAATCGATACGGAAGAAGGTTCTACCGTAAACACGGGACCGCCGATCTTTCTTTCGAAATGCGATGCAGCCTTCTTCGGTGCAAAAACCACTTCTTAAGAAAATTATTCCTCCGTAAAGGAAAACATTGCTGTTTCGTTTATCCTATTCGCGTTCCCTAAGCTTATCGAGCAAAGGTTTGTTTCCTTTACGCGACGAATTTAGAGTGCGAACGGGGTATCATGGCTAACGAAAGGCGCCACTTGAGAAATTTTTCTTTTTTCACGTAGAGTGCGCGTGCGCGTGCGGTTCGTCCAACGATCTTCCTCGATTTTACGCGTCGGAAGAATGCAGATGTGCCCGAAATTTTATTCTTCAATACGAAATTCCAACCCACGCGACAACCATTCGACGTATCATTGAGCGATACGCGGATTGTACGGACAGAAACGGTTATGTTAGCTTCGTTGGGACTTTTTTTACACTCTACTATCTGTATTAATACCTACTCTTTTCGCGTTCTCCTCGCCGTTTCTAACAATTTCCGGTAGAGTTGTCCTTAAAGTCTTGCACTGTGCAACAATTGCAGAGTATGTGACATGTACGGTACAACGAAGACACTAGAGGTACAGTATAGATAGTACAGTCGGCAAGTGGAGAAAAGATGAATTGTAGAAAAGTAGCTGACTCGCAAGGTACGTGGAAAGAAAAGATGACTCTGAATTTGCTCTCACTTCTCGGTCAGGAATAGTATCAACGAACAGCTCGAATCGTTCGACAGGGCTGAATCGACGAAAGGAGGAAGGAGAAAGCACGCGCAAGCGCGCAAACGAGAATGAGCAAGGCGAAGTTCGTTGGATGGAACGGAGTAGAA